AAAGCGCTATACAACCTCTCCTTAACCTCTTATTCATGCTCATGCATAAAAGTGGCATGATAGAAAAGCAAGGAACAAAATAAGCATTTGCCTAAAATCTGATCACTGTATTCTTCACCTACATGATTTTTACACCGTGATCTGCAAACAACCCTGCTCGGCAGAAAATGTGCAGGGCGTGCTCAGAAAGTGTCAGAAAAGTTTCTGTGTCCTAACTGAGATGTCCTAGGAGCTTACTAACGTTTTATAAGGGTCAAAATGCAACATTGGCGATTCCCTTAAATAAACTTGACATTCGCCTTTTTATTCTGTCAAAATTTCATTTTTGTACACCAAGCATGACATTTCCTGCAATTCATCAAGCCACAATAGACGTAATTTTTTTGCAGCAACAAGCTATAAATGTTTGGAGCACACAACAAAGCAAGCAGCTTTAAAAGTTTTTGCTCCAAGCTTTTTTTTAAATTTGTCTTCCATGTATCCACTGCATGGCCACGTTCAGAACTGTGGACTTTGGCGTATTTTTGACAGTAAATAATGACAGAGTCATAAAAGAACTTTCGTAGTTTTGTCTGTGTCTTGTGCTTTTTACTGCCGATCTACAACACAGTTAGTTTTGTTGGGTGGTGGTACTTTTTTCACTGTTGGTAACAAATTGTTCTCCTAATTATATAACCAAATCATGAAGCTACAGAAAAAATAACTGCATTTTTCTATCGAGCACAAACTAAGCAAGCGTGCAAACTTATAATCAGACTTGGTTGAAAATTTAGTAATGCTAGCCTTCACGCCTAGGTACCCCTTTAAAGGAGTGCTGACTCGAATTTCAAATATTTCGAAATAATTGTTCTAAACATGAACATGTGTTTGGAGAACACTAAAGAGCACGAGAAATCAAACACGCGAGTCAGAGCGAAATATTTGTTTTGTCTTGTTTTTTAAGTTATGCGGCTATATCTGAGGCGCACGGAGTAGCACATTTCATTTCAAAAAAGTGATGCCAGTGCGCCAGAAAAGAGTTTAGAGGTGGCCGCGCGTGCGTCTCGCTACTGCTTGCCATGACATTTCCCGAGTTCACAGATGATGAAATTGTCGATGTAAACGTTATGTTATAATTTTTTCTTCTTCTTTTAATACGTGCCACAGAAAATTACATTCATGCTTTCTTTAGACTGTCTGCAAAACCAAAAAAGCAAAAAAGGCAAACTCGGTCAGAATACGGAAAGTTTGGTATGAGTGATGCCCCTAGGCGCATTTTTTATTTCACGTAAAAACATAAAGAGTATTAATACAGAACAATATTATTTCAACATTTCTGCAAAAGATTGTTTTCCTAGACGAAGCATGATAGAGGAAGAAAATAGTTAAACAAACGAGTTTTTTCAAAACACCTCATTTTCGAAAAAGAAATTTTAAAAAGCTGTGCCAATTTTAACCAAACATTTTTATTGAAGTCCGCCTATGTCACTCAATACATGGTTTCAATATTGCTACAAGTAAGCTGCAATAATATATGTCATCATTCTTGTTTCTCGAAATACAGCAGGCCAAAGTGGTCCTTGCGGAGGGTGCTTGGCTCATGTCCCTTACTGGTTGTCCATATGAGCCTGTATTCGATAAAACTCGAATTAAAATTTTTTCAGCAGCAGAAGAACTTCATCATGAGAGCTGGCGTTGAACAAGAATATATCGAGGTTTTATATGATCTAGGGCGCCCCCTGCGCGCCAGACTGAAGAACGGCCGCTCTCTAAAAGTTGTATGCCTGCTCAGTTTGCAGCGTACAACGTGACCTTACGCCGACATTATTTTGTTGTCAAGACCAAGTGAAGTATCGCGAAAGAACGTTTTGGATAACCTTGCTAAAACCAGCCAGGTGCACACGGTACAACTTTTGTATTCGCCGCCAAGGATGCCTTATCTGTAACGCCGGCTTCCATAATCAGCTGGTGGAGGTGCTTTCTCACACTGCCTGTTTCATTTGCATCCGGTGCAGTAGGTGTGGAGACCTTCAAACACGTATCAACGCAAAACGTACGTAAATAATCTTTTGAAGGCATTCCCTCAGCCATCTACCGAGCCATTCATTTTGTTTCTCGTTATCATCTCTTCGCGTCACTCTCAGATAACTTCTATCTGTATTACCTCGACCCCGGCCCCCCGGGATTTCGTTTGTTTGAAAACGTTAGGATGGCTCAGAAGTGTGGCAGTTTGGGCTAGTTGGTATAACAAGACGATGGTTTAGCGCGAGAACAGAATGACGACAAAGAACGCTCGTGTCCTTCTTGTCTTTTTGTCATCGTTCTATTCTCGCGCTATAACTATCGTGATCGTTAAGATGGCGTTTTACGTCGTAAAACCACCATGTCATCAGAGACGCTGTAGCGGAGGGCTCCAGAAATTTCGACCACCTGTTGTTCATTAACGTGAACCTAAATTTAAGGTCCCTCGCAGTAGGAGGCAACAATTACCGGCGTGTTGTATGTAGCGCAATTAATGCGGCTGATGCAGAGTTCGGAACCAGCTCCCAACCCGTCAACAAATGAAGCTGATGGGTTCCGCAGAGACGAACGCGGAAGACCCGAGAACAGCAAAGAAAGGAGACTCCTTTGTTTACACGGTTCACGAGCAGAGCCGTCAAGGTCGCCCCCATTCCGGACTAGAAGAGGAAGGCTTACTTGAAAGAGCGTCTGGCAAGAAGCAGGCCAGGCGCCGCCGTTTGAGTTTAAGCCATTGTTGGCATGCACGCGTGCCATTGAGAATAATGCGGGGACGCGACCACTGGCCTGACCAAGACACAGTGGCGTCATGGACACGAGCATATCCTCCCGCGCTATACGTCATTAGCTTGTGTTGTTAGGATGGCGTGGCGCCTTGCTGTCGCATGCACATCTGGTCAGCGCACCGGATTACACGGTGTAATCTCCACGCTTACGGAAGCTTCTACAAAGCGACATTTACGAGAAATTTGATAGAGCCCGAGCTTGAGAACGGCTACCGACAGAGATCGGCCGATACACGACCTGGCATGGGAGAGAGTGTGAAACGTGGAGAACCTATCCCCTCTCGTGTTGTACTTCATAACGTGATATTTACCAACGTAAGGCCTGTTGTAAAAGTCATTCTGCGATTGGTTGTGATGATGTCAGTCTCAACGCGTAATTGGTTTGTTTGAAGACCCTTTGTTCAAACGAGGATTGAAAAGAGGATGTTTTAATCGGAAAGAGAGAGCGGAAGTTCGGCCTTGGTCTTGGGCAGACGCCTGAGGCTGCATTAAGGCGTCTCTTCACCGGACTACGGCTCTTCTTTAGTGCGGCCACCGTGCAATCGAGTCATCTAGGGGACCCATTTCGAACCTCAAACATCTTCCCTCCTTAGCTAGTGTAGAAGCTAGTCAAAGAGGGGGAAATTAAGGCTCGTCACTACCACTTTGCCGCCTTCGAAATACGACTTTCACGGCCGGAATACACAACTGCAGCGGGCCACCACGGCGGCACCTGACAGATTTTGTCCATCAACATACAGGGTGGGCCACACGTTATCAGAGTACATATTTTAGATAGTGCACGTCTGAAAACGTGATAACGCGAGACGTTCTTGAGCCACACCAGCGCTATAGAAGAATCGACGTAGGGAGTGCGGCGCTCTTCAGTACGAACGCCTCAACTTGGTATAGCTGTTCAATATACGCGATGCATGGAGCTCATAGTTCAGACCGAGTATTCTGTGCCGATGATTTACGTGTTCACAAGAAAAAGGTTGCTAGGAAAAAAAGCTATCGTTTCGTAAACGTTCAGGATGTTAATTGCGTCTCTATGGAAGGCACTGCCAGAGGCTCAGGCGATTGGTGACACCAACTAGGTTTTCCAGCACTGTTTTACGCGCCTCAAAGAAATCTCTTCATGCAGCAATATGCACAATTAAATCAAACCTTTCTGAGCGGTAACTCTAAACAAAGTCATTTACGTGCCAAAAAATTTCAAACTGTGTTGAATCCTTGAATACAAAGCACAAAGTACGTTCTGTCACAGCCATAATAAGAGATGCACGTATACTTTTTTAGTTTGTATCAACTGTTGCCTGCTATTTTTCTTCCTTTTTTTAAGAAATAGCGTAAGTGTTTAGAAGTCGAAAAGTGTCATCAGACTGATTTTAGCACTGAAGGCGGCCACATTGGTCTCCTGTATTGCGAGAACAAGACACGAAAAGAGCATAATATTGAAACCATCTATCTAGTAACTTAAGCGAACTTTCATAAACAAGTTTCGTTACACTATGGACCTTTTTTACGAATATGAGCTTTATTAAAAAAACGCGCTTTTTCATTTGTTTCTTCTGTCAGTTGAGCCTAGAAAAACAATCTTTTACAGAAATGTTGAGAAGATATTCCTTTATGATGGCAATTTTAAAAAAAAAAATTGGTCAAACAAAAAGTGTGCCAAGACACATCAAGGACACCAAACCTTTTTGTTTGACTAAGTTTGCATTTTTCTAGAATTTCTCGCTTCTGCGGACAGGATTAAATCATGGATCTAATTCACTCTGATGCGTTTTAAAACAAAAAGAGGAAAAGAAAACTTCGACACAACGTATACAGTGCACATTTCATTGGCATGCAAAATCGGGAAATATTGCAACAAGTTTCAGTATCGAAGGGATGACTTCCCTGTGACGTGTCTTGGCGGTTGGGTTTGATGGTGCGACGAATATTTACGAGCTATTAGCGGCAGGTCTCCCATCTATACTTGGTGCATGTAAACAATGATGAGTGCGTTGCTTTGAGCAAACCCTGTAATTTAGGCCCCATACAGGAGGTAGAGTACACGAACTCCTTAAAACTCGGTTGAGTCATCGGGATAATGTCTTTTGCGGGGCGGGGGGGGGGGGGGGGGGGCTCGTAGGCTATGATAACCTCAATATCAAACAACATGTTATACACGTGTTGGCTGACTCCGGTGGGTGGCGAGTTGGCACTACGTACCCAGCAAACCAAAAATGCTCCTTTTGCGATGAATAAAAATAGCGTCAGTACATTTTTAATTAGGGAGAGGTCAGCCTGAATGCTGTTGTCCCAAAGTGTTCTGACGTAATTCTCAACATGTTGCAAGCCCACAAACGTGCTTCTTGGAATGTCATCCTGCTTCTGTTGTCACACGACTCTTCTCGTCAAAAAAACTGGCTTGCGTGCAGGTACAAGTTGCTATGTGCAAGCCAAAACAGCTCTGGTTATCCAGCTTCCAGCAAAATCGTTTGCATAGTATTGCACTTCGGGGGTGCAGTGTTTCTTTATTACAGCCACACCAAGTTTTGTCCTTCCTTGCTTCACTGCGCCGTGATAATGTTGGCTAGGCTGTCTCTTGATGTTGCTACAAACCGAATCACACCCTGGAGGCACTCTGCAGACAAAACTTCATGCAAAAAAAGATGAGAATTGTGGTTAATTATTCGGGTCAGCAAAAAGTTTCAATTACAATGTTCACAAGTGGAGAGAAACATCATCTGTTCGATTTTTTAGAAAGTACTATAATTATTTACCAAATTTGAATACAAAGTTTGAATACTTATTAGCAATAGGGAGCCCTAATATAAATGAGAAATATTTCTCTGACTTGATTTTGGTATTTCATTGAATTTTCTCACAGTTGTTCTTCTGACCTAACTGCTTATAAAGCTTCTTTTGTACAGCAACCAGCCTGTTGGTTTATGGTCCAAGTATTGCATAGGAAATGAGCTTGTGTCAATGCAGTAGATTAATTTATTGAAAACAATTAGTGCGACACGCTTCATTCAGCATATATACAGCGTACCCTGCTAACTGTGTCCAGAATTGTTAAGAATATGCAGATGTGCTCTATATGTATGCAACCAAATGTACGGTGCCTACTACTAAGACATAGCGTACATCGTACTTCTCTTGTGTACTACCTAATAAACATATTTTATTACCCATCATTGAAGCAACGATGATAATACATTAATATCTCTGCTTTTATTTACCAAAACAACAATAAAATTTCAAGCCAGACCATAGTGAAAGAGGTCTTTCAAAATTTTGACCATCTGGTCTCGTTTACCATGCACTGGCATCACACAATTTAGCTTTAATCGAAATGTGACTGCCACGACCGTTATTAAACCAACGACCTTTGGGTCAGCAGCCGAATATTTTGAGTTTCACACACCACTGTCCCAGACTTATAAACAAACGAAACTGGGCAAACTATCCTAATGAAAAACTATAGATTGGTTTGCACAACTTCTGATTAGCAATTTCTAACTCATAATCTATTAAGTATTAGTGCTTTAAGCTTATAATAAAATTCCTGCAAAATACAAAAAAGAACAAACAAAAAGAACGAGAACAAACATAAAAAAGAACAAAGCCCGATAGCCCAACAATGTGTGCCGTGACTGCATGCTTGTTATTTTTCCACGTACAAACAATATGCGAATAGTGACGGCGATAAGCAGACACAGCAGTTATCACTCACGCTACGATAGCGAAACGTGCATTATCAGAGAGCGACCACTTTTTTTTCGTTGTTGCCCTGTCGTGGCAGCACACCCGGCTAAATCCTAGGGTCATTTGCACGCGGAACGTTAGGGAGCACAGCTGTGTAAGTGGGCATGTCATGTGGTATTAAACTTGAAGCATTTCTTAGTGAACTGCAGGCACTTTGTGCAATTCTGTCCATGTATCTACCTATTTAGCTACTTATGTGTGCGTTTTAACTAGACTGCTTTGCCAACATTCTCGAGGCAAGCGACTTTTCACTAGTGAGAATCGCAAAACAGCAAATTGTGCTGAAGAAGACAAAGCAATGCCTAACCTATGGATTGATGCAATAAAAGCTGGAAGTGCAGTGCAATACACAGTTGATGGCGTGAATGCTGCAGAGAAGGCCACAAGGCTTCAGAGGGTCCCCCGTGTGGTATTATTACCAGAGACGAATTATAACTGCACTGTCGGCGCATAGACTGTACACATGGGTGAATAATACCTGCAAAAGAAAGATGGGGCCTCACGATGTGCGGTCTCTGCTAAGCACTATCATGGGTAAGCAAGGGTATGCAACTTATGCCATGAAGCCAGGTCTTTTAGGCGAAAACAGCGCAAGGAAGGGCTTCCCTGAAACAAAGATAAACAGCACGTGAACATCGGCGTGGGGCAGTGGGGTCTTTTTTAAGCAGCAGCAATCCTTTCTTTGGGGCAAGTCATGAAAGAATCGCTACATGCAGTTCATGTGCACCACGCCTTTCGAAAATCAAAAGCCCCACGAGTGTTCATACATTTTGCAAGAACGATCTGCGTGGAGAATGCCTCAAAGCCAGCAGTAGGTATTTTATCCAAGTGCAAGCACAAATGAGGGCTACTGGTCTGAAGAGTTGTGTCCTCTTCGTGTGCAGTGAAGAAAAGTGTGTGCAAGTTCCTGTACTTTTTGATGCGGCATTTTTCACTGACCTGGTAAACTGCTGCAAGTTTTCTGCTGACCAGTACCTTGCTGCCTTATTTTGCTGGCAATTGGCAGCCTTCTTAATCAGTGTAAATTATCTTCTGTTCCTCTTTGTCATTCCTTTCTTCATGATTTATATTCTCCTGGTCTATGTTGTACTATAAAAAATCTCACTTTACTGACGTGTGCAGAAAATTATCTTCAGTACTAATATATACCATGTATCTTGCAGAAAATTGACACAAAGGTGATATATGGCAGCTCTCTATCTCTAATATTAATAATAATAATTGTTGGGGCTTAATGTCACAAAACCACAATATTATGGGACGCGTCATAGTGGAGCATTTTGGAAATTTTGGCCACCTGGATGTCGGTCACCTGGAGTGCGGGCCACTAATAGACGCCAAGTAGTAGGCTGCTGCTTACTTAGGCACTTGTTTCGTGGTGGGTATTTAAGTCTGGCTTTGCGGTAATGCAATAGGATTTCTCCAAAGGTAATCGTTCATTCCCTCGCCTTTTCTCGAAACGAGGAGACCCTCATCTCTCGCTCAACCGTGTCAGATCGCGAGAGGTGGTGCTCTGTTGGATGACGCGCCCAGTGGACGACAGCTCGGGTAGAGTCATGAGCGTGTCTGTTCCCCGCGAGCCCCGAGTGGCCCAGAGTCCAGATGATCTCAACGCAGCGGCGACGTAACAGAGGTGTACTTGTGAGAATGCGGAGTGCCAGTTGGGACATCAAAGCTTTGATGAAGTTACGGAATGCAGTCATGGAGTTGCTGATCATGCAGGATGCTTGGGTTGAAGCGTAGGCGAGAGCGATGGCTGCTTCTTTGCTTTCATCGAGTTTGTTTGCGCGCATGGTGCCAGTTGTGGTAATTATGTACTGCGGCTCGGTGGCGACAGCGAGGGCCACGGCCCGATGCATAGAATATTCTGCTGCGTCTACATACGCCACGTACGTGGCTTTCGCTTAGCGCTTGCCAAGTTGCTTCGCATGGTCTACTCGTCTTTCCGAGTTATATTCAGGGTGCATATTGCATGGTATGGGGAAAATCATGAAGGTGTCGCGAACGTCCGAAGGAATTGGGTGTTTCTGGCCAAACTGGGAGACGTAAGGTATGCTGAGTGCGCACATGAGATGACGTCGTGTAGGAGTTTGGCCTAATTGTTCGTAGATCGATATATGTTGGGCTTTAATGAATTCATCTGTATATATTGCGAAGTTCTGGGTTATTGAGTTTCGCATTCGGCGTAGACATGGGGAAATGTAGCGCGCACTTGTAGCAGCGCCTGATCAATGTGTTTAGTTTTTTCTTGTCGGTGAGTGTAAGTTTCATAAATGGAGCAACGTAAAGGATTCTGCTTATGGACAACGCGGTCACCAGTCGTACGAGATCGGCCTCTTTCATGCCGTGCAGTTTATTGGTGAAGCGGGAGATCGAACATATCTTCGCTTTGAGTGCATAAGAATGGTTTTATCTTTTGTTCAAGTTTCATGATGCTGAGACACTTCCGCTAACAGTAAAGTTTGGATTGAGCAATGAAATAGTATATAGGATAGTATTCAATTCATTAGGCAGAAAGCTCTAATGCATAATTTTCAAGAGGTGGACAGAAACAATGTAAACACAGTTATCTCGTATTCGCATAGTTGAAGAAGCTCATGAACACAGGGGGAGACTGTTGGATCATATGCGAGAACACTGATAATTTATTTTACGCTGAAATTCTTGACATGTTACTATAGCAGTATGCAAACCTTTCTTGCAATCAACAGTGCAAGGACATACTGATACATTAATTCAAGACATCACTTAGGCAACGAACAGTCACTGAACCACATTGCTAAGAGTATCTCTTGGAAGTGCTGGTCACTGTGCCATCAAACTACTGCTTTTAAACTGCTCTTATGTAAAGTAAGTGCAGGATTTACTTACTCGCCAAGAAAATAGAAGTGTATTGCAATACAAACACTTGATTTTTTTTATTAGGGATAATTGAGAATTTAGTTAATTTGGACATTTTTTCCGTCCTGTGAGAGCCAAATCAACAAGCTTTTGCTGTACAGTTTTTTACGAGAAGATCAGGAAGCATAAATGCACGCAATGCAGCCACAGAAACAAGTTTTGCATTAACTTTTGACAATGTCTAAATTACCTAACCATCTCAAAAAGCAGTATTTCTTGTGTTCAGCTGGGTGTGGTTTTCAGCAAAGGTGAATCAATGAAGTTAGACCACAGCGCACAGATGTTCCACACTTTGTTGAGTTGTTCAGCCATACCGTTCCGGAAGATCTGTGATAGTATTCTCAATGTTTCCACCCTCCTGATGACTCTCTTGACGTGTATGTGCACGCTTGCCATTCATCTTGTCTCCTCATCGTCTTTTTCTGACAGCTGCGGCCGTCCACCCATAAATGGAGGAATGTTGAGACCTAAAGAACGTGTCTCACATTCATCTGCAATAGTGAATCCCCTACCAGCCATGATGCTGCGCCCAGGAGTGAATTTATCTAAGATACCACAGTGCTTGGTCAAGGCCTTGTCCGACAAATAGCCAGGTGCGAGGTCAGAGACAAAATGTCAAGTGTAAATATCGCAAAAACGTCGACGCGGACCACCGAGCACTGTGGGACAAAAAAGCAGAGCGCGATGACATGGTGGCCCAAGGCGCGGTCGCAGTTTTCGGGCAGTGCGGGCACTTCTGAGCTCGGTCAAGCGAGACGTTCTGCCGGGCGAGACCGTCGCACGGAAGACTACGGAGCTGGGCGAGGTTCAGGGTGGCCGAGGATCCAGGTGCCAGGGGAGTTGGTGGCTGAATCGAGGATCACCCAGTGGTGCCAAGCCGTACCGATTGACGCTCAAGACTCGGACGTGGGCCGCGAGCTCATGAGATGTGCAACCGAGGGTACCTGGTGGTGCCCTGGCAGAGCCGACAAGCGCCGGTGACTGAGCTGCCGCACCGCAGCTGTGGCGAGCAGCATTGCAGCACGGCACAGACGGTGCTGTGCTGGCAAGAACCCGCACGTGGAACTGCTACGCCGGGGCAGTGATCGAGAGCTCGGAAACGAGGTCCGAGGTCGCGCTGGTCCAGACGACGCCACCGCTGCTCAAGAGTTGTGAGACCACAGGACTTTTCTTCCTCACATGCCGTGGTGGTCGTCCCGACGGCGCCCACATTACCGACTTTTCATATCCTTTGTTTTGTATATAAACTTTGGAACACGTCTCCCTGTCTGTTTTCTGCACCGCCGCACAGTAGTGGAAGTGCTCGAACCGTCCTAAACATCACAGTCACAAATCCGTTGGGGCTGCAAATAACCAAACTTTCACGGTATTGTGTTTCTTGTACAAGGAGTATGTCTCACTTTGAACACGAAAAGATAACCGGGTTTCAATAAAGATTTCTAGGATACCATCCACGGTGTTGAATTCCTTGGAAAGGAAGGCTTGTGGCCGATACTTTTCACGCGGATCTAGTGGTATCCAAGTGAGCATCTGTATCATACGATAAAAAAATATACATCATTCCACAGAATCACGTTTCTGTGAATAACACCAAGCAAATATAAAGCATCATAAGTATTGATCTAAATCTAATTTAAAATATGCCTTAAAATTTAATTTGAAAAAAGCCACGATATGCAACTTTGGCCGCTCTGCCACTATTATGAATAGAACTCTGAAACGTCGGTCTACATTTCCATTTTGAAGCAGTGCAAGAAAAAGGAACAGAGAACTGAAGACAAATTATTGCACAAGTGCCAACACTTGTACAATAAACATGAAGTATTACTTACGGTTGAAGTATTCACTGTGCATACTTGAATATGGAATGGCGCTTATTGTTTATGGCATTTTTGCAATAAGCCTTGTTTCCCAAATAATTCATATATTGGCGTATAATTTTTCCCTAACGCTTCAAATAAAAGAGGACTGGTGTCATTCCTCTTCATACATTTGTTGTCCGCCTCGGTGGTACAGTGCTTAAGGTGCTAGGCTGCACATTGAAAGGTCGAGGGTTCGATCCCAGCCACGGCGGTCGCACTTTGGTGGAGGTGAACTAGTTGAGGCTCGTGTACTGAGCAATGTCAGTGCACAATAAAGCTCCTCAGATGGTCGCATTTACGAAACCTTCCACTACGGCGTCTCTCATAATTATATCATCGTTTTGAGACGTAAAACCCAAGATATTATAATCATTGTTGTTGTACAATTGTGACATTGCTGCATCATCATACTTGCATGATTACATACTTATTTTCAGTTGATGTTGTGCATACACTTGTTTCTCTAGTCACGTTTTTATGTAATTTATTGACCTATTTGCAATGAGGACTGCATCACAGTGCAAAAATAATGACTTGTACGAACCAACATGACAGTAAAAACTGACATGTAACGCCTTTCGCACAGTTTCCAACCAGCCGCTGTGAACTGCACGCCTGCCATTTTTAAAT